CTCCGACCCTCTGGAACGAACTCCCCGTGGAGATTCGTACCTTCACCACCCTCCAGGCCTTCCGCATAGCCCTTAAAACCCTTAAATATTTATAATATTTTAATAATTAAGGCTTTTCACTGCATTTTGTTATTATGTAATATAACTAGTCAGCAGGAACCATTCTTAAACTTCTTTTAACAACTTGTTGCCTGAATTCTGGAGGGAATTGCTGCTTATTTATAAACTTGTTTCTGTATCCTTTGGCATCAAAAAATATTTTAAAAATGTGCTATACACTAATACTTTCTTTAAATTTGTATTTATATGAAGTATAGATATAATCATTTACTAGTATTTTCAAATCCTTTTCTAGGTCGATTACAATGCAGTTATGAAATGATCACAACAATATTCGGTATCAAAGCCCAATTTATAAACAGGCTGTAATATGTTCCATAATTTGGAAAAAAAATTAAAAAACAAGCACAAGAACACATTTGCCCTACATAAAATTACAATTTTTCATGTTAATACTGGACTAAACATAAAACACGCATTAAGTGACTATATCAATGCTAAGCACTCACATAAGGAGAGTAGAGCTCCCCTGTATCGGTGATGCTTCCAGCCATATTGAAAAGAATTTAAAGACTTGAGACAGATATGTTGTCAGTCGTTCTTGTTCCAGTTAACCTGAAAAACATAAAACACTTAGCTTTTTTACAAAGTTACTTATAATTATTAAGAATTGAATCCACCACATACCAAATTTTACTGAGATAAAGATAGAATCAGAGACTTAACCATCATGGCTTTAACCAATTTAAAAAAAATCACCGGTTTCCATGCCATCGCTTTATTAAACAATTCTAAGATTTTCTCTGCTTGAAATTAGATTGCAGTAAGTAAAAGGCACTCTTCCCCTTAATTGTTAGTTCCTAATTGAGTCTGCATCCTAGGGCAACACTAACATTATTTCCAGGGAAAGCTAATTATGAGATCCTAGTAATATATGAAATTACTTCACAATAGAAAAATAAAGTAAGTGAAGAGAATACAGTATATCAGTTGCAAATAAAGTAAGTCAATCAAACAGGAAACTGCAAGACTCTGATTGAACAAAATATTTTCTATAGAAGAAGAAAACTGGATTTATAGCCCATCTTTCTGTTAAAAGCACAAATGTGACTTAAAAATATCCATAGATAGCTCCTTAATTGGCTATTTCTGACCAAAGACATAAAATATTTCATATAATAAATCCCAAAGACCTTAATGCAAAGTACTGTTTCCCTTGTCAGAAATCTTTTTTTTGTCAAAAGCACAATGTTTAAAAACTTCCAAAACTTCTCAGAAATCAGACTGAAAGTTGATCCATCTTTTTGTTAATAGAGCATCCTGTCAAATAGGCATAGCTTATATGGGATACAATCAGATTTTCTTTTTAAAATGTATTATTTATTCTCAGTCATCAGTTTCACATATTTCATAATGAAAATCTCTTTTGTCAATATTTTCATTTTGAAGTGTAGCCTAAGAAATCATCTAACTCTGCTTTTATCCCATTTTCTATCTTTGCACTGATGTTAATGCTAAAGTACTGCTATACATTTATTTAAGCTTTAATAATAAACAGGGATTACTTTTCACCTTTATTCAATAGGCTTACATGTTACTTTAGCTCTTGAGAAAAAATGTATTTCCTCTCCAATACTATCTATCTATCTCTATCATGAACTAAGTAAGTAAGGCTATCATTAAGGATTATAAAAGGTAAGTTTAGAGACAGAATGGCATTAGGAGTCTGTGTTCAAATTCAGATTCAGTGTATACTTCTATTCAGAAGTATTCCCTGACCATCTTATTCTGAACACACTGATGTTCTCAACTTAGTCTCACTGCATGGAGAACAATGACATTTCAAGCGTGGTCACCTTATGGCTGCTACTGTGTTGCAATATTTTTGAGGAGGGCTTATTTTCAGGGGAGGGTAGTTCTTAACAATCCCTTGCAATTCTTAACAATTGTTAAGTGAATCTGGCTTTCCCATTGACTTTGCTTGTCAGAAGATTGTAAAAGGTGATCACGTGACTTCCAGACACCGTGACTGTCATAGATATTAGTCAGTTGCCAAGCATCTGAATTTTGATCACATGACCACAGGGATGCTTATCATAAGTGTGAAAGAGTGTGATAAGTCATTTTTACAGTGCCACTGTAACTTTGGACAATCATTAAATGAAGTGCTGTAAGTCAAGGATTACCTGTACAATACACATAGACCATCCGCTCCTGTTTTAAACACATTACCCCTTGATCATATGGAACAAAATTGAGCAATCTTTCTGTAACACTGACATAGAGCCAATTCATAAATCAGTCATGAATGTATCTTGAATCCAGGACTAACTTCAGGGTAGGACTCCAATATTTTTTTCCACTTCACCCTGTGCTCACTAAAGCCATAATTAGGAAGTTCCAGGTGTAGTTATAAAAGAAGAGACAGACATTGCAATCTCCGGAACTTAAAATATATTACCCACTTAGTTTTCGTTAGCTTCTGCTAATATCATCAGAGTGTAAATACTATCATTGAAGAAATATATAAAGGATATGTGTGTGTGTGTGTGTGTGTGTGTAATTAGTGTCAC